GACATTGCGTTCCGAAGCTCACCTTCTAGCCGATATCAACCCTCCCGCGTCGTCCCTTTTCCTCCTCGTTGCCACCCTCGCTCGCTCCTCTGCTCCACCTCTTTCCACCTCCTTTCCAGCCCCTCTTTCGCCGACCTCTTGGCCGGCCAACACCGCCGCCTACCCCATCGCCACCCTCTCCCCTCGCCTCTCTCTATCCCATTTGCATCCGCTTGTCTGGAGGCGAAAGTTTTTCGGTGGAAGGATTTTTTTCCCTCTTTCCACCACCCATCGCCACGGCGACGAGCCGGACGGGTCCACGGGTGCCGGTGTTTATTTTCGGTGGAGGTGGTATTGATGGTCGAACGATGACACGTTCTTCGCTAAGTCCTCTTTCTTTCTCCGTTTTTGAAAGTCAGAGTTTTTATCGCTCGTTAGAGTAAATTTGATCGAGCGAAACGCGTCACAGAACAGTGAAGAGGAACCGCGCGATATTATATAGAAATTCCCTAGCGAACTTAGGGAATATATGTCTGAAATAAATTTAACAAAATGTAAATTGAAGAGCGTAATTTCTACCGACTAATAGATAGTTATTGTAACTGTTAGGTACTATTACTTTTTTTTTATTTCGTCTTCCCCGACAAACAGGGCTTTCGTTACCCCCGCCGCGGCTGTTGGTTGTTTGAGCTGGAAATTGAGTATCGCCGAGGGGTGGCCGCTGTCCACTCGCGTCGTTGCGCGGGGGAGGGCTCGTTCGTAGGTTCAACGTTGAAAGCGAAAGGGTCGCGGGAGGTATAATTCTCGCCCCGGTCGATGATTTCGTATTTTACGATGGTTGTCTCGTGACGAGGGTGTAAACTCAACGAAATCTTCCTGGTTTTATGTCGTGCTTCGAGCACCTCCAGAGAAAGTGCCGCTATAAACAACCGTGAACTGATCTACGAGATCACTGGTACAAGACACCGTAAGATGCAATGTATATTATACTTATCGTAAACTGTGTTAATCATTCCTCAATAATCATTGTGTAAACTTGTTTATGGACTGTACATTCCACTCTACAACAAAGTAATAGTTTAATTATAATAATTCCTATGCACAACCCCCATTATTTTATTAATAATAAATAAATCCTATAAATTAATCGATCTTATCCTCACTTTCTTAACATTCGAATGAACCTGTGTAAGATCGTAAAATAAAAATTGAATAAAATCGCTAGTTTCGCGAATTTAGTTTGTCAACGGGGCGCCCATCGTCCCTTTCACGGCGACGAAAGTCAAGTGAAAGGAAAAACCGTGTATGTCGGTCGGTTGACCGTAACGAACCCACGAGAATAACGACTATGACTTCCGTGCAACAAACGCCGTGTAAACGGCACGGGAACAATTCAATCCCACCCCCTTTCGCGTCGTTGCGCTTAAGCATTCCCATTCGGTCGATGCGGCACGCGCGCAGAAATGCCTTGCTGCGTGCACGCACAGCAATAAAAGTATCGCGGGATCCATTTCCTTAATTGGGGCCAGAGGAGGGCAGCGGTTTCGTGGTGCTTTATGCTCGAGCCGAATCTACACCCCGCTGTGCAGCTTCTTTTTACAAGAAACAGAAGCTAACGTGCCTGAATCTTCAGCTATCCGACTTTCACAATTTTATTTGAAATGGAAATAAAAAGCTATTATTTAAAATAAATCACGATAGCACAGGTGCTTTAAATAAACATCGAAAGTTCAGTCGTCAATTCAAAAATAGAACGTTAATAATATTTTATCGAAGCATGTAATAATATTACTGTTCTTTTCAGAAATTAAAATTAACGCATTACGATGATGTCAAATGCTTTCACTGAAGGTTTCACGATTTTTTAATTCAAGAATTGGTCGTAATCGGCACTTAGATCGGGATAAAACAGTCGTACATCGTGAAAAAAATATTTTTATTCGATTAATTCGAGTGGCCTGTCGGAGTACCGCGTGTGAAAACATAGAACGACCGACGGAGCGTGCTAATTTACAATTCATCCTTTGTTTCGAAGAACAATAAACGCGGGCGATGATAAGGGTAACACCGGGGGGGGGGGGGATTGCGATGTTGCATGGAGAGCACGGGGTTGTTCGGGTGCTCTCTTAATTCCTATTTCCTTCGAACGAGGGGTAAAAATAACACCACCGACGCTGAAAAAATTGTGTGTAATAACACGGTCATCCAATCCCCAGAGATGTTTCGCGCGAATGGAACATCACTTGTTTTATGATAATGAAAAGAGTGGCATATTGATACATTTTTAATCGACTGACTTATAAATTTCCACGCGTATAAAATGTACGCCTTTCGTATACGAAAGGTTTAAATATTAAAAATGTATATTATTATGCAACTTGTATTGTATTATAAATTCATAATTGTTCGCTGAAAATTGAATTCTTTCCTTTCAATGAACGTATGTCGCGTTACTTTGAAAATCATTATTTTCCTAATTTCTGATGAAAAATGTTGATTTTCAAATTCTCGGGAGTGTTAACAATAAACTTCCCCAGCTCCTCCCGTCTCTGGACAGGAGGAACAAGGGAGAACCACTGCGCACCGGTCAATTTCCCCTTAGTTTCGTCTCGCGCGGGATGGACGCTTTCCACCCCGAACACGCTTCCGTACGTGCCCGTAAACGAGCGCTCCGAGAAGGAGAAACGTGCTCGCACGCCCTGTATTTACAAATACACGTACCATGGAAGACACACGCACTCAGAGGGAGGAGAGAGGAGGAGGAGAGAGGAGGAGGAGAGAGGAGGGGGAGGGGGTCTAGCGGCACGTACCGAGAAAATTCAACCGGTCGGTTCATTTGCATGCTCGTCTTTTTTCAATCCCCCGGATGCTCCCTTCTTTCGGATTCAACCAACGACGCCGTCGCTATGATAACCAGGAAAAAATTTTCTTTGTCCTGGACCTCGCGCGACAGAGCCGTGGGCAAACCGCGGTCCTCGAACCTTCGCGAAATTTATCGTCGCTGAGACGCTGGTCAACGATCGCTGATTTACGAGCGAGAAATGATCGGAAGAATTATTTTTGGGGGTCGTTTCAGGTGTAACATGTATGCGTATACCGTGGAAGGTGAGGTGTAAACTGTAATTCAAGTAATTCGATGTAATTCGATGTAATTCAATTTTGTTCCATGTAAAATATTTTCGCATTTAATTAAAATAAGTTTCTCTAAAACTAGCCATTTGTCCCATCAGAGGTATGCTACTTTGATTTTGGTTCCCCCGATACGGTATTCGATCTGACCCGAGATCTTCATTATCATTGTCGGATCGATTTTACCTCGCGCGGACAATACACCTGAACCGGCTTCCTTCGTCTTAAAGGAGACCCTTAGCGATGTTCTCCTCTCACGCTGTGTTTTTCTTGGAGCCCTAATTGGGTCGCCATTCTTCGCCACCTATCGTCCTTTTTACCCCCGCGCGCCGTCTTTAGCCCGGAATTTGAGTGGTTCGCCTCCGGGAAAGCGTATCTTCCCGCTCTCGTAATATCCCCTGTCTCGAGTTTTTTGACTGTCTGTTATTAGGCAATCTTTAAAAAAAAAAAACGAGAACACTACCCTAACGGGACACAGTACACAGGGAAATAACCGAAACAATCGTCACCCCAATGAAATCTAATCTCACGCTCCGAAAAAAAAAAAAAACAGTAGATTAATTAACTAGAAATTCATATTTACAAATTTGCGGCGAATCGCGGCTCCGCTATCGGACAGCCGAATCACGGTATCATTAATCTCCCCGTTGCTCGTAGCAGAGGGCAGGAAAGAAGAAGGGAAACGGGACAATAATCGACGTACGTTTCCGTGCCGCGAGGAAAATAATAATCCGACGCTGTACCCAATTATCGTCGCGGCAACACGATCGCCGACAGTGTACACATTGTAAAAATTATGTTACAAACTGCTTGGACGGTTACCCTGGTATTACTGGCCCGATCACGAGCCGAGTTATCCAATTAACGACACGATCAACTGGCGCCCCGAACCTTCCGTGGATAATTCGCGGACGTGAGCCAATTGCTTTTAACCCCTCGAAGGACAGAAGGTTAAAAGAAAACTGGCGAGAATATGCACCGAGACAACGAGAACGCTGGAAAGGGAAGACAATTTTTATAATTAAACGATGTCACGTCGGGTCATTGTTAGACTACGGATTTTATGCATCTGTGATACAAGCTAATGTAATCAATGATAAACCTAAAGGTACGTGCACTTATGCAACGTGAAATAACAATATCATTTTATTAATTGTAGGATACTTGGACATACATTACGCATATTTTATATTGTAGACACGAATCATCGCGAATAATCCCAGAGTTCCCTTTCAGTATTTCGTCTCGTTTTACCCTTTTATTAGTCCAATTCGTCTTAATTGAATGGTCGATGCTCAATGACCGAAAGATCTGGTGATTGAAGTGACACCAAGGTATTAATTATATCCACCTTACTCTGCTATTTGCACTTGGCCCGACTAGGGATCGAATTTTCACCTGACACTCCAATAATCAGAGTAGTAGAATGTTATTTGAACAATCCCGTTCCTGGTTGGGCTCGATAAGAGAATCCCTAGGTTTCAGTAATTGAATAATCGCAACTCAATTTAAGGAGTTTTGTTTCGAATTTATATACCTCTATTTTCGATGCGAATCAGTCCACTTGTAATTTTATTAGTTAAGAAATTATATCCTACTTTTATTATATCCTTACTTTTATTAATATTCAGTTAGTTTTCGTGCAAAGATTTACTACCAAAAATTACTTATGGATCGAACGAACAAAAGCACATACCTAGTATAAAAGTAACAAACACGAAACACGAGAAGTACCGAAATTCTTTTGTATACCAAGAAAAGCACCGTGCATTCGCATGTCCGAGGGTTGGCAATAGCGTGCACCCGAGGATCCTGCAATCTTTGGTCCACGGCCGCAAAGCGAAGCGGAAATGGCCAGTCGGAGAAATCGCGATTTCCATACGCGAGTCTCCGACTATGGCAGCTGGCGTGTTGAAAATAATTAAACGGCGGGAAACGGACAGAGAAGGAAAAAAGAAGCGAGGAGGAAATATCGGCGCGGATAATAATGGTATTTTGCTCGAGACTGTGGTCCGAGATCTCGCTCACAATTAGCGCCGAGACTCCACGGAACCCTTAACGCATGCAAACTTAATTACACACGATCTAGCGATTCCGTTTCGTTACGCGATACGTTGAAAATTTAATTAACCAGCGTGCCTTGCAATATTTAACGCTCCTCCGCGATGGCCGAAAGTGTTTCGCAAGTAGTAACGCAAGGTCAACGCTTGGATCATCTCTGCAAACACTACTTACAAATTGTATCTGTACTATTGTATGTTCACTCAAAAAACGTACAATTATCGAATTAAAGTAACCATTCGTCCATCCATCACAAAAACATAAATAACGACCTAATTAACTTGTCAAGTTGTATAATTATACGCTACAACGAATGTCGTACTTAAATTTATATAGAAGATATTAGATATGCAGCCACGTATATAATTACCGTACGTATCGGAAGATGTCGGTGTACCTACGACAAGATTACACGACGGTGCGTGAATATTTATGCGCGCAATTTACATTTCAACGCGATTAATTCGATCGCGCGAAAAGCGAAGATACGGAATTTTTCATTCTTCGTCGAACTCTCAGACTGGATCCGTTAGAATCTGGCAACAATTAATTTTAACGATGCGGTTAGGGTAGTTGCCCGGTAAACGTTGAGATTTGTGGATTTATTTTTTTTTTATTCTCGCCGCTGAAACGTGACTATACGTAACCGAGCTCGGCTATTACTAATATCATTAAAATTTTCTTACCGGAATTAAGTTTCCCGCTCGTAAAAGTGCTGTTTTTTCCTCTGTTACAAAGATTAACACAGGATTGCACGGTGCCGCGTGTACAATTTTTTTTTTTTTTTTTTTTTGTTTTCTTTCCTAGCCGTGGGAGAAGCACACAATAGAAACTTCAGTTTAATATACTTTCCGCGGAAGGGCGCTTAACA